GAGAGCATACCTCATTCTTAAGTGTGGCTTAAGGCTGGATTTAAGACTTCATAGGAGAAAAACAAACTACATATAAATTTGTACAATTATGTGTCTCACTTAAAGTAGAAAGAAACTATGAAGTAAAATCAAGTTTTACTCCTGGTATTAGAGTTACTAAGCATTTAAACAGAGTTAGCAGATATGATCTTTCTAATTCCCAACATGTGCTATAATAAAAAATCTCATCAGCATCACCTTAATATATGGTATCATAAAATATGCATATATTATTCAATGTAAAATTAAACATTTGTTTTTAGTAAATGCTTATCAATTCAAAGTAGCACTAAAAACATATTTCCTTTGAAAATTATTGTGTTTGATCAGAATAATTCAGTGATTATAAATCTTATTTTCCCCAACACTGAGCAAGTAAATTATGATTGACTCACCATACGAACCATAAATCCAAAGCCACAAATATTAAAGGCAGCTATATTAAGTGAATGATAACACTGAGATAAGCCAATCATAACTCAGAAATCTTGAGACACAGTGTGCTGACTTAGCATGTATAACTTTCATGTTATGTTTCAAGAATCATTGTATTTTCTAACTGAATAATTTTATTTCTAGCAGGAAATATACCAGGATACAACTTGGAATAACCAACCATGTTAGGAATTGGCTCAGTCCTTTATAACTGTGAACCTCTAATCTTGTTTCCCAAGGAACTTAGCTGAAAAGAGAAAAGGGAAAGCAAACAATAGTACAGTACTCTTATTTTCAGAAACTTCAAATTCACAAGTGCTGCAGAAAGTTCTAGTGAAAGGCATTGAGATCAGAATGGGGTATGGAAAAAAGGAACTCAATCAGGTCCAACAGGTCTTGTACAGCTAGACCCCAAGTTATTCAACAAGTATAAGGTCAGTCCCCTGCCCCCCCAATCTAATCTACCTTGAACCCAGGGTCAGGAAATAATCAGAAAACTTACTGTAACCAGTAGCACAGTTATTCCTTTCCTCAGTGACAAAATACCCACTCTGACTTAACTCTTTTATAGTCTCAAGGGACATACTATGAGTTATATTTCCATTATATTTCCATTTCCACTAGTCAAATAACATGGCAAATCTTGTATGTTAAACATAATAATTCCTATGTCTATATGGTATTTTAAAAAAGCATCTTAAATGTACCATTAATTCTTTTTGATGTTCACAAGACTTTAGGCTACATATCAGAGTTTCAACCAACAAGTAGAATACTTTTGTCCTTTAAGAGAAAAGGGTGTAGGATAGGCACTAATTCACTGCTGAACGTTTGGTAGAATTCATTTGTGAAGCCATCTGGGCCTGAGCTTTTGTTTTTGGGGAGTGACTTAATTACTACCTCAATTTTGCTGTTTGTAATTGGTCTGTTTAGGTGTTCTATTCTTCTTTGTCCAGCTTTGGATGATTATATCGTTCTAGGAATTCATCCATCTCTTCTAGGTTGTTGAATTTGTTTGCATATGTGTCCACAGTAATCTCTGATTATTCTTTTGATTTCTACTAATTCTGTTGTGACTTCTCTTTCATTTATAATTCTATTTATATGTGTTTTCTCCTATTTTTTCTTTGTGAGCCTGGATAGAGGTTTGTCTATTTTGTTTATTTTTTTTCAAAGAACCAACTTTTGGTTTTATTGATCTTTTGGATTGCTTTTTTAAATTTCTATTTTATTTCTGCTTTGATTTTTATTATTTCCTTTCTTCTACTGGCTTTAGGGTTTTTTTGTTTTTCTTTTTCTAGCTCTTTGAGATGTGAGATTAGGTTGTTTCTTTGAGTTCTTTCTTGGTTTCACTTATAGCAGGAATATAGGGGAACCCAATAACACATCAGTGTAAAAAAATAATAACAGTACAAAACACAACAAGGCAAAAACAGATAATTATAAATCAGAGACAAACTGCAGGGGAGCAGGAGGGAGGGAGAAAGGAGCACAGGGGACTGTGATGATGGTGCATGGGTGCATTGGTGAAGGAAACTCTATGGGGACCACACCTGAGGGGGTGGGGAAGCAAATATTGTTTCAAAATGAACAATGATGTAAAAAATAAAAAAATATATATTAAATGAAAAAATGAAAAAAAAAGAGAGAAAAGAGTGTAATATAAGAAACTGGAGACTTACAAAATAACTAGAAGTTGGAAGAAATGGGCTTTAGTCTGGATTTACAGAAGTAACTCCCTAAAATTACAAAACTGAAACACCTGAAGGTTGCTGATTCTGTGGTCACCAAAAAGTAAAAATAAAGAGAATTTTCTCCTACAACAAGAATATCCCACTATGGCTTTGACCTGGAAATGACAAAGCAATTGCTCCTTTCACTTTAGCTTCTAGTTAGAATGGACACTAGAACACGGCTAGAGAAAAAAACCTATTTTTTAGAACCTGTTTTCTGGAATAAAACAACCAAAGCTTCAGAAAGATAACTTCCATATTAAATACTTCCAACTTATAAACCTTGAATAGATTTTTCTAAGTAATGACTCTAATTTGATACCAAACTAGCAGCAAGGGAGCCTGAGAAATGTGGATTTTTAGCTTTCCAGCCTCTGCAAGACAAGATTAAGCAGAAGGATTTAGAAATGCATGTTGAAGACAGACCAATCAACCATGCCCACCACAGACAAGAGCTGCTATTTCCATTTCACAGAGGAGAAAAATGAGATTCAAAATATCTAATTGAACTGAACAAGATTTCAATGTTAAGTTAATGGAAGCAAGAAGAATAACTGCACATGGCATAAAAACTCCTAGATTCTTTTTTCGTTGAATCTGATTCTGTAATCAGACCCTACCACTCTATATTAACTGATAATAAAGGATTTATTAAACTAGAAAAAAATGAAACAAGTGATCATGCCTCATAAAAGGAACTAACATTTCCTGACATTTATTTGCTCATCTATCAAGCTGCTATTATCTTTCAAAGAGGTCAATTTAGGAAGAGACTCTAGATAGACAGCAGTCCTGCTTAATAAATATTAAGCAGTTGATACAGCTTAGAGTATACAAGAGGCAAATTGGCACACTACAAGCTCTTGCCATCTTCAAAATTTACTCAAAGCCTAAAGCTAGAAAGAAATACCTGAAGGGTAAAATTCATGTTCTTAATTTTTAATCCCACCCATGCCCAACATTAAAAGTTTATTTGCAAAGATGTGTAAAATAGCAAATGGGAAAAGAAAAAGTTATGACATCTGAATTAAGTTCAAAATTGCTATTTGAGAGCTGATGAGACTCAACAACAACAAAGAAAATAATCCAGTCAAAAAATGGGCAGAAGAGCTTAAAAGAAACTTCTCTGAAGAGGAAATGCAAATGGCCAACAGGCATATGAAAAAATGTTCAACATCACTTGTCATCAGGGAAATGCAAATCAAAACTACCATGAGATACCATCTTACACCAGTGAGAATGGCACATATTAAAAAAACTAGCAACAACAAATGTTGGCGAGGGTGTGGAGAAAAAGGAACTCTTCTGCACTGTTGGTGGGAGTGCAAACTGGTCCAACCTCTGTGGAAAGCTGTGTGGAGATTTCTGGACCTACTAAACATAGAGCTTCCATATGACCCAGCAATTCCACTCCTAGGTATTTACCCAAAGGACACAGAAACATCAATTCCAAAGAACACCTGCACCCCTATGTTTATAGCAGCACTGTTTACAATAGCTAAGCTTTGGAAACAACCCAAATGCCCAAAAATAGATGACTGGATCAAGAAGATGTGGTACATATATACCATGGAATATTACTCAGCATTCAAAAAAGATAAACACATGCAATTTGCTGCAACATGGATGGCGCTGGAAGGGATCATGCTCAGCGAAATAAGCCAAAAAGAAAAAGAAAAATACCGGATGGTCTCACTCATAGCAGGAATCTAGAAAACTTAAATAATGGACCAGGAAAATGAAAAACTATAAGAAAGTGAAAATCAAAATCAACAAAAAACTATGAACCAGAGACACTTTTAGGGGGGCGGGGGCGGGAGGGGAGGGATTGGGGTCAGAATGGGGGGCGGCAATTGTATGGGGAATATAACAATAAAATTTATAAAAAAAAAAAAAAAAAAAAAAAAAAGACACAACCTATGAAGAAATCCGCAGCCCATCGCAGCACGAGTTCGATTTCCGGCCAGCCAGGGAGAAACCCACATGGCAGGACAGACCTCTCCTGTCTTGCCCACTGCTCCCCTCAGCAGTGTACTTTGGTCCATCTGCCTGTTCTGTTCCCCACTCTGTCTCTGGTGGGTCCTCTCACCCCCCTGCATCTCTGGCCTGTACTCCAATTCCTGTATAAAAATAAATAAATCTTTAAAAAAAAAAAAATAAAACATCCTGATGCTGGGTCCCAATTTAGATAAGTTAAACCAGAAATTATGGTAACAGAATGAGGAAATCAGGGAATTTTTATATAGTCCATAATTCCCAATAAAAAAAAAAAAAAAAAAAAAACAAAATTGCTATTTGAGTCTCATGTAATATGTAAATGTAATTTAAATACTAGTGGAATGACCTCTTAAAGAGATACTAGAATTAGAGATATAGCTATAAAGCTACCTTAATAGCTTATAAGTTTTCTCACACATATCTCATTTTTAGTAATTGGTTCTTTTTTAAAAAAATGAATTATTACCCACGTCTTCACATATGGATCTCAATTTAATCAAATGTGAACTTTGAGGTTAATTTTTAGCTTACTCAAACTCATCTGAAATTCACTAATAGGCATGCAGAAAATGGGTTTCCTAACACTTTACAAATCACCAAAGCAGAGTTCAGTGTTCATTTTTATAACTACCTCTTTAAGGAGAAGCATTTTGGAAGTAGTCTCCTGAGAACATTTATAATAAATCTTTTCTGACTTTCTTTTAAGCAGGAAAGAAAAATCCATTTAAGACAATGCTTTAAGGCAAAATGTTACCTGCCTTCAGATTCAAACTTTTCATTTATTAAGGAAGAAGCCAAAGTCTCCAGGGGGTGCTGAATCAGTCTATGCTGGAAAGGAGAATCAGAGAAGTTACTTTAAGTAAATGGTATCTAACTCATGCAATAGAGACAAGTCCTTGTTCTGCCAACATTCTCTCCAGTGGAATTACCACCACTGTACTTTGAAGGGATGTTACACTGATTTCTTAACTGAGAAATAAGAGACAACCATGAAGAAAGACAGCAGTTTTATTTACTTAACCCCCACTTTCACCAAACATGTCAAATGTTTTACATATATATTAAACTTCAAAACATTACTGTAAGCACTAATAATTCCATTTTTAAGGAAAGAAACTAAGGCTCATAGGCACTAAAAATATGTCCAACTTCACACAGCTAGTAGGTCGACAAAGCAAGACTCAAACTTAGTCAACTGGCTTCCTAGTTTGCATGTCCTCCCCCATAGCATAATGATGAGAAATCCATTATCTCTAGTAAAGGACACTTTCTATTTAAAGGAGTGACTCAAATAGAGACAGTCCGAGGCAAGCAATGTAGGTTGACACAATGACCAAAACGTACACCATGTAAAACTGCATCACCACAGAAAAAGCTTTGCAGTCTTACCTGGATGTCTATAGCAATCAATATAAAGGTTATTCAAGTTCAGCACACTCGCCTCTAGCATAAAACAGCTAAATTTTTTCTACTTATGGGAATGGAAGGAGAGTAAAGATTCCTGTTTCCCCAGTTGCAGTTTGAATGTTCACCTTCACAGAGTTATGGGATACATCATAGAATGGGATACACAACTATGAATAAACAAGCTATACTTAAAAGCAACAATCAACACCCCTCCATACTTCTATGAATTGCTGATTTTGCTTTTCTAGAAAAGATTATGCTACTGATACAATAATGTTAATCTCTGTACATTTTGCTCATGTCCCAGCTCTATTTTCCCTATTGTCTCTATTTCAGTTTTTAATATGTCTTAGGTAAATTATATTTATATAAATATGTAAAAATAATTTTTTCTCACGTTAGGGTAAAATTTCATTTTTTTCTAGATTCAAGCCAATCAATCTAGTTCACATTTGGGGGGGCAGGATATTTTCGACTATTAAGATTTTTATTTAATTGTGCATTTTACTTTTCCATCACCATTTCTTCCACCAAATGTCTGCAACTGATTGTGACTCAGACACTCAAAATCAGACGTGATGTCTGAAGCATTGTAGCTGAATTGTGTGGGAAGAAATACTGAGGACTGTGATTATTCTTCATATAGTTCTTCAAAAATCATTCAGCTTTTCTATTGCCACATTACATTATAAATTAATTTTGCTTTCAAGTAATGCTCACCTTAATTTTCTTTTACATCAGTGCTCTAACAGGTTATCCTGGCTCAGACGCAGTTGCGCTAAGCAGCAATCTCTCTGGAGACTTTATATGCCACCACCTTATACAATCACCTCAACTGTTTGAGAATTCTCAAGGACACTTAAAACACTTCTAACCATAGTTCCAGAGTTGCCTGGGGACCAGGAGGCCCCTAGGAAAGAATTTCTGAATATTGGGGTGGAATAGGTACAGAAAGGGATTGTAATGGTGATTCAATGAGACTGAAAATGGATTCTCCAGCAGGAGCAATAGTAAAAGGGAATAAAATATCTGAAAGCAGTAGGAGACTCTCCTTGAATTCACTGCTACTGTATAGACAGCTCCTACCACCACCACCACCTCACTAATTATTCTCCCCTGATTTAGATCCCTTTTCTGTTACATTCTGCATACGCCAGAAAGGCTGTCTTGTCCAAAATGCACTGTGTGGGTCAATGTTGAAGGCACAGGTAGTCAAAAGAGGGAAAAGAGAGACTACAGCTATTCTTGGCTTGCTCAAGTCCCTCTTTAACACCAAGATTCTAACAGTGAATGTGGTGCCCTCTGCCACAGATCCGCCAGGACATTGATGAGCTGCTGTACCCTCCAGACTTAGAGGTGGTAACACCATCCCAGTGTTAGTACTGGGGATGACCCAAGTCCTCTTGCTTTTTATATCCGCCACTCACACACACCTCTAATAGTACTTCATTAAATTTTCCTCAGTATTCCATCAGTATTCTTTCTGTCTCCTGGTTGGTACAGTAATAGGCACCAGGAATAACTTCAAGAAAGAGACCCTCAAGTTGAAATTCTAATATTGATCCCACACATATTACTTTATAGCATACACATGGCTTCCCTATGTGGAGAGGGCAGGTTATTACCAGCAGAGAAAAAGGTTTGTGAGATAATGATAAAGATTATCAGAGTGCTTCTCACTCCACTGTAAAGCTTACAAAAATAAATACATAAGCTTGAACTTTCAACTCAGGTATGGTGGAGAGCATCTGATCAGTATGAACATATCCCATACCTTGTGTATATGTAGGACATTCCTAGATGATCAGAACTGTGACCTGGTGCCATGTCCATTAAACAGTCAGTGGGCTTTGAGAGTTAAAGTTAAAATTAAAGCTAACCGCTCACCCCAAATCTCAGGGTCCCACTCCCTTGTAACCAGGGTTCTAACTATAATTTAAGAGACTTGTTATAATAAGAAACTGAATGAAAATAAAGTGGAAATCTGAGATGGTCCTTCACTTGAATTCTCAAAGCTCCTTGAATCTTTCTGTCTAATTGAAGCAATCTCTCCAGGCTATCTGAGAAAACTGCTTTCAATGACTTCATCTGGAGCATTTGCTTAGCAAATGCTAAGCAATTCTCATTCTTCTCAAGATAATCGTCACTATTTATTACTTCAATGGCCAGAAGGATAATTGCAAAGTATCCCCCCAAATAAGATAGTTCCTATGCTAAAGGGGTGATAGGACCTTGTCAATTTTTATAGACAGGAAATAGGAAGCATGTTTAGAAGGATTTAAATCAAATTGATAAAAATATGAGCTTGGCTGAAGAAAACCATATCAATATGAGAAAGCTTAGGATTCTAGATATGCTGTGTCAGTCAAAGCTCCTGGGATAGACTCTCATAGTCTGCTTGAAGTCTGGAGTCATTAGTGACTTTGAGATGCCGGCACTCTGTGCTACAAAGAAGAAATGAATCAAACATAGGGAACATGCTAAAGTAGACCTAGCATGGATAGCTTACTCAATCACATACTTGTCATATCTCCAGGAGGGACCAAATAACATTCCCTTCACAAGGCAATAAGAATATTATAATAAGTTAATACTGAACAGGACTACCCCTGAAAAACTCTGTGCCAGTTGCCCTCTGTAGCCAGAGATGCTAGACGAACTGAACTACCTGATTTGGACATGAAGGGGTCTTGGAGTGGCAGAGGAATGAATTGGCACAATTGCCACAATTTACCACAAAGACAGAAGAATGGCAATGCAAGTGTTTTGACGCACATGGATGCACAGTTGTAGTTAACATCTTTTGTGTGAGAACCTTAAGAATGAAATAGATTGCCATCCTTTTAAAATATTACTTAGTCCATGTTATCGAACCAATTCTTTCTCTGGTAGCAATAAACTAGATCAAAATGCTATAGTGGGAATCCATGATCTCACACTTAGTTCACAAACCTAGAGCCTCTTGAGGCAAAGGCTAGTTACTTTTAAGGATTCTCTCGGAAATGTGAACATAAATATACACTGTAAATCTTCCTCTAAGTCTTCCCCTAGAAGATCCATGGCCATTTAACAGGATGACAGTGAACTGAGAAAGGGAAATAACCACACCACCAAGAGTTATTAATCATTGCCCCAATTTAGCACTACTCGGTGTGGGCATAAAGTCAGGAAGTAAAAGGAGTCTTGGCCCACATCCACCCTAGAATGGTCAATGGGACTGTATCTCTTGTGGTGGTTATTTCCCATGTTCCTATTTGCGTCCTTGAAATATTCATACTTAACAACTTGAAACTACCTTATATTGATTCTCTGACCCATGAAGTAAATGCTGTGATGGTAGGAAGAGATAAGTAGAATCCCTGGGATTTCCCCAAATAGTAAACAAAAAGAAATACATACCAGAAAAACTGTAGACATTTGTACTATTAGTAAAGATTAAAAGAAACAGGAATGGTAACGCCCGTCTTTCCCACATTTAACTCTTACAAAAGTCATATGCTGCTTTGAATGACCTTGAATTATCGGTGCCAACAACCACAGCTGCTGATTCAGATGTAGTGCCAATCAACATGGGTACAGGCTTATAGAGAGAAGCTATTGATCTAGGAAGTGGTTTATTTTGTGAGGGTTTTTCCCCTCTAAGTTAGTAAAGGCAGTCTAAAGCAATTCATCTTTATCCAAATGGTAGGAGAATTATACTTTCAGGATCATGCCTCAGGATTATATAAACCCTCTGGACCTTGTCACAATCTTGATCAGGTTGAAATCCAATAAAACATTTTCTGATATATTACAGTAAATATGTTCATTGGACCTGATGAGCAAGAGGTCACAAGTACCTGCATGTCTTAGTAAAAGCATGTGTGTTAGTGAGAGATAAACCCTTCAGAGTGTTGTGATACTGCCAAATTGCAAAAATAATATCAATCCTTTGACGCAGAGCATACGTTGGTGCTTCTTCTAAAGTGAACAATAATTAACTGTACCTTGAACTTCGTAGTATGGAGAAAGAGATACCACATGTAGCATAAATCTTTGGATTCTGAAAGAAGCATAAACTTTATTTGGGAGAACTAATCCATGAGGATACCAGCCTTGTTTACTATCCACAACAAGAAAAACATTACAAATAGGTCCATATAGTACAAGCTTCCCTAACTCCTGGACTTCATAAAGTAAAATATCAAAATAGTACTTGAAACCCTGTTGCAAATAGGGTGACTTTTGAAATCTCTAATATGACTTAATAGGAAATATGTACATACCCAAATATTCTGGAACAAATCCAAAATTATCTGCCAACAATTGCCTGTTTTCCATTTGTAAAACTATTTCTGATTTGCTACCGGTCACTTCTATTGAACAATACCTGAGACTATCAGCCAGGGGACTTTATGATCTGAGCTGCTCATCATGAGTCA